AGTAGTGAAGGCTCACTGCCGAGTAAACTGACGTCAATAAATCCTCTCTTCTTAAATATACGTCAACCGTCAAGGTGAAGTTCAATAGTTCCTCATCATCTGACGTGCTCTGTAGCTGCAGATGTGGTTTTTTTATTCGCGTAGGAATAGGTGCACACCGTTCCATTGACCTTCTTAGACAAAGAAGCTTTGCGTGCATGACAGTGGTCACGAATAAACAGCCACCTATCATGCCGAACCAAACTGAAATATGATAGCTCGGCGGTCGTCTGGACTGCGGCCTCCAAGGCTTATTTGTACTCTGTCTCAAAGACCTCGAAGTTTTTTGTCCAGGGGAGGGGACAACAGTGATTCTGGTATTTCCCCAGTTAAATGCGAGTCCTCCGTACGTTAACCATCACCCCTCGTGTCTAATTCATCCTCAGTGTTCTGTGGAATGTCGCGACAGCTTGTTGGACAGTTGCTCAGCCCAGATCAGACGTGATGCTCCCTGTCGACAGACACGAATAGGCGAGTTCCAGGAAGCAGATCAGAAGAATATTTGATCATTGGAACAAGAAATTTATTGGCCTGACGTTTCGGATTGTCACCCGAACCCATCAGAGATGGTTATAGGAAAGGGTGCTGAAGACACAAGGAGTGTGGTATTTATAGAACTCAATCGCATGGCAACCACATGCCTTCAATAGTTAGGAACACTCGTATTAATTTCTGGCTGTTGCATTTGATGCGAGGATGGCTTGGCGGTGCGTACCCGTTTAGGCCCATGCGGTGAATGAATGTGCGTGACAGTAGGAGCAGACTCAGCCACCATATGTCTGGGCTCCAGACACTGGTTGGCCACTCTCTGCGCGATGAATTCGCAGGTGACCGACCAGGCCGATGTGTGGAGGTAATGCGCCGTCGCACTGAAGACAAATTGGGACCGATTCCACATCACTAGAGAGGGTGGGGTTGGTGATGGTTATGGTGAATGTGTTGGTGGTTGACGGGACGTCAGTAGCGTTTCGGTCGGTGACGGGGGTGGCAGAGGTGGCGGTGTTTGTCGTCGCCGCGGTATTCGTGGCAGAGATGATGGAGGTGGCAGTGATCAACGGCAGTGGGGCATTGAGATTTGAAAGAGGGATGGTGAGAGTGGGCGGTCGAATGATCGGTATGGCGGCAGGAGCCTTACCTTGTAGCGAGCAAATACTAGGCGATTCCCTAGTATTTCCTCCCAGGAATGACCTATCGCTTTTGCGGCCTTCGCACAGGAAATACAGCCAAATACTGAGGACTAGTTAACAGGCATAAGCATCAGGTGGGATTTACTTTACTGAGACAATCAGACGAATTGCAGGTAGAGGTGGCTGGGTTCCCACGGGGAATAATTTAACTGGACACTTACTTGAAACAATCAGTTTGATCCAGTTCACATGTGGACTACTGTTCAGCTGGCATTAGGCCAAGAAAAAACTGCTTGGTTTGATCGATGTTCATCTGCGCGCATTGAGCCGTTTTGCCTAACCTGACGGATCATCGACAGCGCCTTAGCAGCTAGGCGTTGTTGCAAGCACTTCTGACAATTCTCTGTATTCGAAAACCGCGCCTGCAGTTCACTGGGAGTCTATCGCATTTGAGAGCAGGAAGCTGCCTGCTGTTTTATCTCTCATGTCGGCCCATGCTTTCTTGCCTTTCTGCCCAAGCCTCCACTTGTTTGCCAAGTCCTACAGCAGTTTTAAAACTTAGTGACTCATGGTGCACAAAATGATATAATTATTTAGTTAAACACTTTATAAAAGTTGAACTCCCTCATGTTTAAATATTCTAGTTTCGTCAGTTCAAATATTTTATCTTTTCTCGTTTTTTTTCCTGTGTGACCTTGATAAGTAGATGTAAACTCAAGGCATGCGGTATTGAGCAAACGTTTTTAGTAAAAGGTGGCCTTTGTGGGATACATAGTATTTTTCTTAAAGAGGCGTTTTCATGTGTGCACATATGAAACTGACAGGTAACGCAGAACCCGGAAGGGTCAAGGTATCTCTGAAGGAGACCTTATTTTGCGTCATGCCGCTAAATAGGTCTAAATTGATTACTTTCAGCAAAATGTACGGCAGCAGTGTTGAGAGCCAATAACTCACGTTACGCGAATCCTGCATTCACTTAGTGAAAACTGTATCGGTACCCAACACACGGGAATTGCATTATCATTTCAGCTAGGCAATAATTTTGATTTTATCTCGTATTTATCCTTTTCTTAGTTGGTGGTTTATGAGTCAATTCCCTAAATGACAGGTTTGAAACACAAATCTAACTCGTGCCTTTGCTTTTCCAGGTTCATTTGTTTACAGCTGGAAGAAGAAACTTTGTTACTTACTGTAAAAGAGTGTTTTTTTTACAGAACTCCACTAAAAGTATGGATAAAAAATTAAAAGGAACTGAATGACCAGCAGTCTGGAGGACCAGATTCAGTGAAGAGGGTGTAGCCGAAGTTACTGGCGAGACTTTTCTGACAATTACGCGGAATTTCTTCATCCCTGAATTGAACATGCTAAATCTTTTAAATGACACCTTTGTCCAGAAGAAGGAAATGTCCTGGCGCTATACATTAAATGTATAACGGTGTCTACATGGCACATCTTCCAGCAGAGGGGTAGGCAGTTTTAAACCGATTGCCCGGTAAGCGCGTTCGTTTAATCTATCCCCGTTAAATTTTCCCCCTGAGACCTTCTTAAAACGAAACTTAGTTCTTTGGATGAACTCAAGGTCAGAATAACGAAATTCAGTAACACCAATGTATCAGTTGCCGGATATATTCTGCGTGTAATAATCGGCCTGAAAAGTGGTGGCATTCGTCTTGGAGGTTAAAAATATTACCCCTTTTTTAGCAAGATGGCACACTCTGACATTATATGACGGTTTTTAAATAAGACGTCTCCAATCAAGTAAGCAGACTGATTTGAACCAATTCCCGAATCAGTCCATCCACTTGGCAAACCCCCACTGAACTTCCTCTCTATGCAATGATGTCTAAGCAGCCGTCTTCCCAACAAAACGTCGTTTTCGGGTGAATAAAAAACCCCAATGGCAGAAACAATTCAAGCAATTTCACTGAATTGGTCACGTAATGCATTTAGAGAATTTGACAATCGATTTCAAAAAAGTATCGAAAATGGCGGCGGTCGCGTTGGAATATGATAATCTAAAAGCCCATCAAGAATAATTTTTCCTGTGCCTAACTTCCCTATGATTTGTGCCGAAGTGATTGAATTCCAAAACAGCCCCAGGAATGTGGGAACATCCCGTACTGTAAGCAACACGGACGTAACTGAACGAATTTGACCTGTAGTGGCACAATCTCCTTCGGTGGCGCAGATTAATATATTGCTAGAGAATAAATTTTGGTTAGGAATGTTGGAGAAGCAGCCTGATTCATTAATTCTCTAACAGCTACGCCCTTCGGCAATGGACTGGGGAAGCGAGTCCGTCGCGAAACTTCCCGGGGCCTGCATAGACTGTACAAGCTTTCAGAAGACGAAGATGTGATCACGGGAACAAGAAATTTATTGGCCTGACGTTTCGAATTCTCACTCGAATCCATCATCAGAGACAGTCGCAGTGCAAGCCTTACTGTGGCCGGCGAGACAGGGCAGCACGCAGACCTGTATGGCAAAAAACTCAAAAACTCTGCCACCTGTGGATCTGAGAGTCCCGACTGCTGTCATATTACCGTAACAACTCGGAGTAAACAGTTAATGTCTGGCAAAAGTTCTATCGCGCACCAAACAGCTATGAATTGTCCTATCGACTCTGTGAACTCACTAGTAGCCGATTACGAAGAGCAGTAGACAGCGCACTAACTTGGCCGATGTCCTACCACCCAGGCCGTGAACGCTGCCCAAATAAAGCCGCACGCCTGATGTCTTGGTCCGATGGCGAGCGAAGGAAGGCCGTCAGTATCGGTGCGGTTGCACAAACGACGTCTGCGTCCGTCCCGATTTCGCTCTCTAGCAAACTTTGACGTCCACTTAAGTCAAACACTCTCCCACATGGCCCTCTTCTGTGACTCTGGGATCAACACAGAAATAAAGAAGGACTGATGAAGGCGAATGTGTGAATCCCAGGTTCTTGTTGTGAAGAAGATGAACAAACGATCTCTGGGACAGCAGGTGTATTAGTCTGAGCTTTCGGTCTCGTATAGGAGGCCAACGTCAGAGACTGTGAGAATGCGGCGTCATATGAGCAGTTTTTATAGTCAAACCATGAAGGGGGGGGGGAGATATGAGTGCAGAGGGTGGCATTCGCGATGAGCCGAGTCCCACGCCGTGTCACGGAGGCGTGACTGCGTGCACCCTTGGCTGGAAATTGGGTCTCGCCTCTTGGCCGCGGGTACGCAGCGCGTGATAACAGGGGGGTATGTCAACGCGTCTTTTGATAGAGTTGGTGTCATACACACAGGCCTCCAGCAGTTTTCGCCCTGTCTTATTGCTGGGCCGCGATACTATCGGCGTGGTCGCGAAGTTGAATTCGTGGCCTTCCTCCAGGGTGTGAGCGGCAACCTGAGACAACGGGTCGCCTCTCCGAGCCGGCCGTTTATGCTCCGTTATTCGTGAGCTAAGTTGTCGTCCGGTCTGTCCTGTGTAGTGGCGAGAGCAGTTCCGACATTGGATCTGATAAACGACATCCGATTGTTCTCCCACGTCTAGTCGACCCTTCACTCACATGATTTTGTTGCGTATGGTCGCTGTCGGACGCCGAGCTCTCCAGCGATACGTTCCATCGCATCGGACACGTTCTTTATACATGGTAGAGGGTGCCAGAGTGTTGGCAGCTCGCCTCCGTTTGTTTGCCGTGGGTGCGTGTGGAGGCGGCGGCTGACGAAGCTGTTCGGGTATCCATTCCCTGCCAGTTGGTCCCGAAGATGCCGTAGTTCTCGTACTCGTCCCTCTGGCTCACTGCAGTGCGTTTTTACCCATTGGAAGAGTGTCCTAACACGGCTGCGTTTATGCGTCATTGGGTGGTTGCTATGGTAGTTGAGAATCTGAGTCGCGTTAGTCGCCTTTCTGTACACCGTGGTGCTAAGTTCGCCGTTGGGTGTGCGTGTGACGAGAACGTCAAGGAAAGGCAGCTGTTCGGCATGCTCTTCTTCCCTTGTGAACTGAATGTCCGGGAAGATGCCGTTAAGCAGGTCTTGAAAGTCGGCCAGTCTGCTCATTTCAATTATAACGAACGTGTCGTCCACGTACCGGCGCCAAGATGCAGGTTCATATTGGCCGAAGACTACTTTTTCCAGTTCCTACAAGACTAGTTCTGCAACCAGGCTGGATATTGGCGAACCCATCGGTGTTCCTGTGATCTGCTCGTAGGTTCTGCCATTGAAGGGGAAAAAGGTTTGTTGGCAGAAAGCAAAGAGTTGCAGTAGGTAGTCAGTTTTCAGGGGTCTGTTCGTTTCATCGTAGTTGTCTTCGAGTCGTTTGCAAATAACGTTGCGTGCCAGGTCCGGTGGGACGGATGTGAATAATGAAACCACGTCAAAGGACACTATAATCTGATCAGGTCGGACAACTTTTCCTCGGATTTCGACCAGGAATTGGGAGGCCGAACTGATGGAGGTCCTCGGGCCTTCTCGGAAAGTGTAGCCATTTCGATCGGTGCGACTCCTCGTCGACCGGTTGGTCAAATGTGGTTATGTAGCCGCACCTGAAGTTAGCAGACACCAGCCACCTCTAATATGGTACCGGTGGTGATAGGGATTTTTACAGGTGGGACCGCAGAACGCACAGGCGATGAGGTCAAGTAATTTTATGCAAAAGAAAAGCTATTGGGAGTGCGCGGTTGTAGTTTGAGTGATTGAGAGATAGTTGCCCTAACCCTAGCCTCTAACCCTAACCCCTAACAACAACCCTAACTCCTAACAGTATTGTGTCCATTAGGTGTGGCAGCATAACCACATCTTACCGAGTGTTTTTTCTGCAGATGAGCACTGTGTGTTCCTACGCTCGTCAAGTCCAGCGCCTGTTCACACTACCCTGTCCATTCGGTGAACGCCTTTAGCTACTGAGGACAATCTTGTCTTCATATTGACCAAACTATGAAAAACTCGGCGCCTCGGTGGAATTCGAACCCACGCAGTAATGGGAAGGCTTTAGTACAGCCAACGCTCTAACCACTAGAGCCACGAGGCCCCGCCGAAAACGCGAGTTTAATCACATTTGGGTCAAGTTACCCGCCCAACCTACTCCAACGTCTGAGATCTACGAGATGATCTCCTACTAACCTTACGACTCTGAAAAACTCGGCGCCTCGGTCAATATGAATTATTCAACATCTGCCAAAACATCTATGAATTACGCAAACCTGGTAGTCATCTGGTGGATTCTAGGTGAATTACTTAGGAAATCCTGTCTGGGCAGTCAACTTACTGCATCACATTTGGTGGATTCCAGACGTTGTAGTAGGTTGGACAGGTAACTTGACACAAATGTGATTACAATCGCGTCGTCCACCGGTGCCTCGTAGCTCAAGTGGTTAGAGCGCTGGCTGTACTAAAGCCTTCCCCTTACTGCGTGGGTTTGAATCCCACCGAGGCGCCGAGTTTTTCACAGTTTGGTCAGTGTGAATTATTCAAAATCTGCCAAAACATCTATGAATCTTGTCTTCCTTTTTCATCCGTGGTTTAAGGCCTAGCACCCCAGCACTCACTCCTACGCCTTTGCTCTACACTGGTCCTCCTGTTGAAGCCTTCATCCTATCCAATTGGCCCTCTGTTCGGTCTGGTTGAGTATCTAATCAGAGGATGGTGGTGACGAGAAGTTGTTTTTTGATGAAACCGATGCCTTGTTTGCAGACAGTTCGCGTGACAGTCCAAAAGATTTGGTGAGAGAGTAAAAAGCTCGGATCGAGGATCCTGAACGCCTACCGCGATCAGTCTGGCTTATTGGGCCGGCTACCTCCTCAAAGTTCAGATCATTGTCACCGTTTGAAATTGACGCCAGGACGGCTGGCCGCTACCAGTCATGGAGAACCTGACACCTGTCGCGTCGGTGAGTCAACTGCAGCGAAAGGTCAGATTAGTCACACGTCGAGCGGCACGATTGCACATTACAGTGTCTCTGATTACAGTTCACACCTTAGGTGTGATCTACGACCACAGCGATGACTGGACTGACGCAGTTCATGCCGTTTTCTGTGAACATGCATTACAAATGTGAACTGTAGGTGCTTGCAGGTCGTTGCTTCGACCCCCCTCCTTCACAGGGGTCATAGCATGCTTGTTTATGTAAGAACAAAGCCAACGATTGTTTTCACGGACAGTGTTGGAGACGCGTGACATCGATGTCACTCGCGGTAGGGCTTTGGATGCACACTGACGCAATTAGCGTCCCGAGGGCCTGCGATGAGTCGCATTATCGACATAGTCTAGAAGACGAACCCCACTGCTGTCAGGAATAGGTAAAACCAATGCAGTACCGCGGATGTACGGGTGGCATTTCACGTGTACGACTTTCCCGGTGACTTTGGCTGATGTGGTTTCAGTCCATACATGGGAAACGATGTACGTTCTCGTATAAAAATGCTAGCTACACGTATCATCAGATCACTAACTGTAATTATTTATGAGATAGAGTTAATGAACGGAGACGGATCCGATGTATAATTACTGCCGACAGAATGCGCTTAGCTTTGAGACACCATCCTTCGTGAAGTGCCATCCGGCCTTCACTGTCCGCTCGTGCAAGAGTTTAAGCCAAGAGGCACTGCGTTCCCTGTGGTCTTTCCAACTTTACTGTCTGTGCTATCCAAAAACAGATCAGCAAGAATCTTGTCTAATCGAAAGTATGCTCCCTTCCCAGACGGAAGTTCGGGTGATAAAGCCGAACGAGGGAAGTGTAGTTAGACTGAATGAATGCAAAACGTACCAACAGTATTGTTATCGGCAGCATGGGCGGCTGCGGGGGGCGGGAAGGGGCAAGGATAGCAGGGGAAGAGAGTTATGAGATACCGTTGGTAATAGAGAAAGTTAGATAGTGAATAATGAGAATGACGTCCGGATTCCGGTGCTTATTGAAGGACTGATCCGTTGGATGGGATCAGAACCATGGCCTGGATTTGACGGGCTGAATTTGTGCGATGGCGTCCGGCTCGCTTCACGACAGGATGTCGGCAACTGAATTCTGCATATCGTGGTCACATCGAATGACGCAGAAAAATCGAGTTGAAGTCAAGAAGGAAATTCGTAATGATTGTGCAGCTGAGTATTCAGATCACGTCGGAGTCACCAAAATCGCAACAGCCTAAGTCTAGAGTGAGACCCTGGCTACCACTACCCTGAATGGGAAAGGAATATGAACGCCAGTTTGGAGGATAGTATATTCTGTACAGAACAACTGGAGAAGGGGCTGTAAAGAGCTGGCAGCCAGAGGAGAGCGCCTCCGGGGGCGAGAGAGCGGCGTCCCAACTGTGAGTCAGGGTATGCGTCAAACCGTTTCAAGTCATGGTACGTCTGACTCAGCCTTGAATCTGATTATCCAGTCGGAAAACCGAATGGGCGAACGCCAGACAGTCCTGGTGCGCACGAGCGGACACTCGCAAAGGGCCCAGCGTTGCGGCAGGCGCTCGGAGTAGGGCGACTACAAATAAATTGTCCAACTGACGTTGTCTTCTATTGGCTTGAGTCGAACGTTTCGTCTGGCGAGTGGATGTCATGGTCCTGTTAAGTGTTGAGACTGGAGGCGTGTTGAACTTGTTCTTCACTCGTCGGGTTTCCGCTCTTATGCGCCCAAACCAGAGTGAGAAAGGGCCACGACGTGTAACCCGAATCGGTCCATTTCTCAGGATGAGCTCACCTCCGGACAACCTCATATCGCCCGGCGGACGAAAGTGTGGTGGGGAGATTTCATCACTACCGAAAGCTACCCTTCCTTCCTGTTCAACAGAAGGCTCAGCTTTACACAGAACATCTTCACCTGGTCTTACTCCACGCTCAGTCATCCCTAAATTCAGACGTCGGGGGCTAGTTTTGGCAGTGACACTTCGCACAGCAAATGAGCTGCTGTTGCCGATCAGCCTAGCTTCTGTTGAGGACCAAACGAATGCTGTACATCGACTGTGCCAGTTACGAAGTAGGCTGTTTCAGTTCTTAAGCAATCACCTTAATCCTAATCACACGCACTAAATGTCTTGACAACCTGGTCTCGCTTGTCGTGATCTTGAGCCGTCATACAAAGGTTCTTCACGGCTTCTTGTTCGCTCTGAGGAATGTTTAACCTTTGCTCGCAATAAAAAAGATGTTGTCAACATCAACTGACTCGAGGGGACACATGACATCCGACAGTCGATGCATTGCCAAGGTTTGGTTCGCTATCGGATGAAACATTTCAACCGTATGCCTGTCGAGGCCATCCCCGCTGCTAATCCCGTTAGCGGTTGGAATGTTGACCATATGACTCAGAGTGCGTATGAAGGGCATTCGTCCGACTGATTTGTGCAGATACGTTATTTCGCTATGTGTTATCTCCTCAGCAGTTGCCTCCAAACTTCAGCCTAGCTGGAGAGCTTTGTTGAGGCTCCTGATGTATTCACCTGACGTTAGCAACAATTCCCCTCGGACATCAGCCCTCCCCACGGACGGAAGGCCCGGTTTGCCTGTCCGGCTGCAGATCCGAACTGCGTGTCATATGCCCGCGATATCTTCCAGTTGAGGGACTGGTGTGATAAAACGGAAAACTGAAAAGTCAATTTGCCAAACAAGTGTTTTCGGTAAGTCTTCATCAGGCCAAAACGGTTACATAGAAGTTTAAGTTATGCGAATTTACAGGGCTTATAGGTGATTCAGGGACTATTAACATCCCTCGTTCCCAAGCCACTCGCATTACGAAGCGTGCTATGGCGTGGTCGGCGTGTCGTGGTCATTGGGTCAAGGGAGCGAGGGAGAGGGGGACATAGGTTGTGAGTACGTCTCTGGATGCTGGTCTCCGGTAGACAACCTGAAAGGCCTCTTTGGCATCGACTCGGTGATTCATATCGACAAGATGTGCGAGAATTGAACTCGAGAAAGCGCTAGTGATCGCTGTCTTCGGACGGAAAATACGATAAGCATATACGCAGTTAGAGGGGAAGCAGCAAGCGACCTAGTGAGATGACGTCAATAGGGCTTTCTCCGCCGCGAATTTGCGTGCATGTTTCACAAACTCTCTCCTACTACGTTTGGGAGTTAAAGACCCACTACCATTGCAGGCGGCATCGATGTGTATTACTCGTTCAGTTACTGCTGTAGAGCGGGATGCATTGGCCGTACAATGAGACGTATGAAAAAGAGAGTACGTGAACACATACCGACCTGGCCAGGCAGAGATGAAAACACATAGATTTTAAGTTCTATGCTCGCTCATATTGCCGATACAAGTTACTAGATCAATACCGAAGAAGCCTTTTAGGTTGTCTGCCAAACACCAGGAAACTTCTCCAGATTTCTACACCAATGGGTGTTAGGTATAAGCGAGGGAGTGCCTATACGAATCCAGTGCTATGTTGTCAGAAGACGTTGACACAGGCACTCTGTCTTCCGTGGCCAGATGGTCATTAGACGCCCCTCCAACCCCCTGATGGCAGTGGTGTGTACTTCACGTACCCGACTTACAAACACCCCTCGCAGCCCATGTCACCTTCCCCTGCTCATTGATCGTAACATGCCGACCTCGTCATACGGGTGGCATGGGAACGATGAGTGTTAATAGTCCCCGAGTCACTTAAAAACCCCTAGAGCGCCTCATATGTTTAATTTAATTTAACTTCAATTTAATTTAATTTTATTTTACTTTCTATGTAACTGCATTGGGCCAGATGGTGAAGTACCGAAACAAAACAAGTTTGCCAAATTGACTTTTCAAAGAGGAAGAGGACTTGATTTACAGTAAGTGGGGTAACTCATGAAATGTCAACCAAAATTCCGAAGTGCGTTTTCGTTTCGAAAAGATCAATTAAGAAGGGTTGTAAAACCAATCATCATACAGCATAATTCTATAATACTTCAGTTACCCCAGGACGCCGGCTTTCGGACAAACTTCTCTTCGACTGCATCCAAAAAACCATACTCCTTAAAAAAATGGCTACTTAGGTAGCATGCATTTTTTCATTGAGTTTCGATGCCCTTAAAGATTCAATTATATTTCATGTAAAACATGCATAAAAATATCCATTCTTTCACTCATTCGCTAGAAACAGACGTCTTCTTCCAATTTTATACTCAAAGGAAGGGTATAATTCGGGTTTTAAAACTTTTCCAATTCCCGAATAATTTTGAACGCAACCTGACGTTACAGTTGGATTCAGGGTTCCCAAAGTGCTAGTCGTATAATTTCCGCGTACTGCAAACCCTGCATTTCTCTACGGTAATAAAGGGTGACCACATAGGGTTCATAAAGTTCGATCGTGGATTTGAGCCGCATTGTTAACTTCACAAGCTACATTGGTAAATGCAGAGATATGACGTTTTAGGAAGGGCCATTTCACGGTATTAAAAGACCTCACAACTAGAAACTTTTAGAACTGAATTACACCCTCTCTGCGAGTATAAAATTGGAAGAAGATGTCTTTTTCTAGCGAATGGGTGAAAGAATGGATATTTTTATGCATGTTTTCCATGAAATATAATTGAATCTTTAAGGGCATCGAAAATCAATGAAAAAATGTATGCTACCTAAGTAGCCATTTTTTACGGAGTACGGTTTTTTGGATGCAGCCGAAAAGAAGTTTGTTCGATAGCCGGCGTCCTGGGGTAACTGAAGTATTATAGAATTACGCTGCGTAATGATTGGTTTTATAACCCTACCTAATTAATCTTTTCGAAACGGAAACGCATTTCGGAATTTCCGTGGACATTTCATGAGTTGGCCCACCTACTGTACTTCCCCATTTTCGAACAAAATGTGGCTGTCCTTCTCCATGACCTTGACACACGTGCGAGTCTCGCTGACGTCCACGGCTGACTGAATCTTTAAGCACCTACAGCTTCGGTTTTTTGACCAAAGTAATGGTTGATCCTTTAGTATTGCAGCCACTAACCCCCTGATCTTGGCCCCCTATACTAGCACCAAAGAGCATGGTGGTTCCATCGTTCAGAGGTGACAAGATCCACCGTTGTTGTCCGAGAGCGCAGCGTTAACCTGTACGGCACCTACTTCACTTCATTCCTCTCACGTTCGACGTGCCCTAATAGAATGACAAAGTCAAGGATCTCCGGCATAAAAGTGAATTCATTTGGTTGACAAAATCACACAGTCCATTTACGCGTGCCTCACATGGCCTGGTTCACCAGCTGCGCACCTGCCAGGTTTCACTGAGGGGTTTTGGGTTAAGTATTAATTAGATTACCATAAGGACCACGTTAATATGGTGTCACCTCGGTCAGGTCGTGAATCCGAAGAAGGAACAAGCTAGTCTGTCAGTTGATAACCTTCCAAGTAATGACCGTCTGCAGGCCGTGATTGCTTTGTGGTGCTAAATTAAACACACCACCATCAATGAACTCACACCTCGTATATGTGAAAGGAGTCATAAAAGACATATTGAGAAGGAGTCGTTGCAGTCTACTTCATATTCAACCGAAAGTCTTCCAAATCGCGACTTTTAGCAAGCCTTGTTAGAATAAGTATCATGGGGGACGCACAGATTTTCCATGAAGAATTGCGACTCAATATTACCCCTTATCTTCCTTCCTTGTTCAGAGCACCGGTAACCTACTTGAGCCTGTTGGTAGACTGGTGAGGAGATTGGGATCTGTTGTGAGCGCTCCCACACACTTACACGGCAATAGTTAAGGACTCACGCAACCGTCGTTGAAGACGACGTCGACCATGCGCTCCACAGAAGTCTGAGAGCAAAGACGGTGAATTGCGCGTGAGTTCGTTCAAACAGATAGTAGACTTGCAGAGCATCTACCGCACTTCCCCCTCCCCCATCTGAATCCGGTGTCATGACCAAATCAAGAAGACCGGAGGCTGGAGAGGCTACAGGTGGCTGGCACGACCGGACCAGATTCAAGGCCGAGTCAGACATACCCTGACTTAAGACGCCTTGACGCACACCCCGGTGGATGCTCAGGACACCGCTCTCCCAGCGCCGGACGTGCCCTCGTCCGGCTGCTGACTCTCCCTGCTTCCTTCTCCAGTTATTCTGCACAGAATACAGGGAATGACCAAGCCCATAGAATGTTGGCTGAAATTCTGAAATGCGTTTTCGATTAGGAAGGACTACTTCGGTAGATTTGTAATACTGATTATCTTGCGGCATAATCCTCTAATATTTTGGATTCGGCAGGATGTCAGCTTTTGAATGCACTTCTTTGTCATCTCACGTAAAAACCCTATTTTCTAAAAAATGACTACTTATGTAGCATGCATTTTCCCATTGATTTTCGATGGTCTTGCAAATTCAAATGTCTTTTTAGAAACCATAAACAAAAATGTTATCTTTCAGTCGTTTGACAGAGAATTACGTCCTCTTTTTTATAATCGAAGAAGGAGAATAATTGGGTTTTAGAAAAGTTTCTAATTATGGGATGTTTAAGACCGCGCAATGCCCATTCACATAGCATCGTACCTGTCCGTTTACCACAGCTCCTTACGAAGTGTACAACATAGTCCGCATCCATTGCAAAATTTTATGGACTCTTTTTAAAGGCATAGAAGAATATGTAATTCTCCTTACACTGAACGCATGCACCTTGCATACTGAAATCACTAAGCGCTGATGCAACGAATGATCAGGCTCCAGATTATTCTGCAATAGGAAACCTTTTTTAAAACCTAATTATACTCCTTATTCGAGTATAAAATATAAAGATGACGTGATTCTCTATCAAACGACTGAAAGAAAGCATATTTTGTTTATGGTTTTTATATGATATATTTGAATTTGCAAGACCCTCGAAAATAAATGTGAAAAATGTACGCTACATAAGTAGTCATTTTTACCGAGTACGATTTCTACAGGAGATTGAAAAGCCGTGCATTCAGAAGCTGACATCCTGCCGAGTCCGAAATACTATAGGATTATGTTGCAAGATAGTCAACATTACAACCGCGCCTACGTAATCCTTCCTAATCGAAAACGCATTTCAGAATTTCAGCCAGCATTTCATGAGATCGGTCAATCACAGTGCATTATCCTTCCAAATAGCCTCCCTTCCCTCTTTCTATGCGGGACCGGTCCTGAAGGTCACGGTAGCCAGGGTCCTACTCTTGGCTTAGGCTTCTCCGATTGTGCCACAACACTCCATCCTGGTCGACAGCGTACACCAACCAGGATTTCATACCACAACACAAGTAGTGGGGGGGGAGGGACGTCAGAGATCTCACTTGGCGCGGCGTGAACCTGCAACTGGGCCTCTTACCGCACCCTCAATGTAGGCATTTGTTATGGCTGTGCATTCCCGATAACGCTTTCCAAATTCCGATCTAGACCCAGTCTTGATCCGGCGCGTCTGTTGCATGGCCCTCTGCTAGGGGTACAATGCAAACTCAGCAGCATAGCCCGATTAACGCATTCCATGAATCTAAATGGCTCCAGGGTAGTTGCGCTGGAGCCTACTTTCAGGACAATCCAAAGGGTATATGAGGCCACTGTGGATCGTGTACTTGCCGCTGACGAGAGACATGATATGGGACATGCTCCCAGATAAAAACCTCGTCCCCCATGGCAACGATCGGGTGAAGGACCTGTAATGACAAGGCGGTGCGGGTGTGTGCAGTCTGAGCGCCACCATAATCAGGGCTAATGCCAGATGGGAAGGGGAGGCCAGAAGGAACCTGTCTGAGGATTTATTGTGGACAGAACCCGGAGTTGTCCTCTCAAGCGGCAGTGGCCACTGGCGAAGCCAGGGCTGGTGTTGACTGCGTCCAGTTAGGCCTGAGAGTCCCTGAGATAGTGGTGGCAGCCGCTTTTGTAGGCTGGTGGTCGCAGGGGATGGCGCGTTCAAGTGGCTGCATGGGCAGCTGCGACTGCGCAGACGCAGGTATGCCCGAGCTGTGACTTCAGGTCAGCTGGTCTGGGACGGCTCGCTGCAAGGGGTGAATGACCTTGAGACTGCGAGGTCTTGAACAATGACGCCAGACCAGTCATGGTGGCTTGCCACTACAGACCCCAAACACACACGACCAGCCAAAGGTTCCTGCCTTACGGAAAAAGGTAGTAATAGGAGTTTTACGGGTGGGACCCATGTATGCGTAGAGGAATGGCAAGACTGAGTGTGGATAGTTGGTCTTTCGGGCGGTAAACTTTCAATACATTGACATATGGCAAATGAAATTAGGCAGGATAATTAAAAAAATAAACATCAAGTGTCTATAACGATCGCTTCTCAGCTCTCTGAGCTGATATCATTGTAGATAATGCACCGGACCGTCTACAACAGAGGACCTAACCTTGTACGATGCAACACCAAGCCGAAATAATCGTGTCAGACCAAAACCCACTCCGATAAGTATAGTTGGTAGTCTTTGTATGCAACGGATGTTTAGGGGCCTTCACCCAGACCCTACCCTTGAATTTCATAATACCTCCCCAAAGTGAACTTTTCTAAAAGGCGACAAGTCGGGAAAAACCCCCGCTCCTGTATTCAGGTGTCCTTTGGCTGATTTTCAGGGCGATTAGGGTTAATGTGAGGGTTGGGGTTAGGGTTAAGATCCGGTTTGTGTTGGGGTTAGAGACAGGGTTAGGACATAGAAATATTTCATTTTGACCTAAATGGCGAAGAACTCGGCGACCTCAGTGGGTTTAGGACCCACGACAACACGGGAAAGGCTTGAGTACAGGCAACGCCCTAGCCACCTGAACTACGATGCCCAACCAGGAGCCGTCAGTTTACTCGCATTTGGGCCAAGTTGCCCGTTCAGCCTACTGCAACCTATAAAATTCACCGAACCTGATACAGTAAGCTAATTGCTAAGCTGGATTTTCTAAGTAACCAGTCTAGCATCCTTAGGTGACTACCAGGCTCAGTCCAGCCTACTACAACTTAGGGAGTACACCAAATCTACTACAGTGAACTGACTGCCCAAGCAGGATTTCCCATGTACTCAATCTAGAACCCACCAGAAGACTACTTAGCCCGTCAATATAATTTATATTTGAAACTGCTTGTTAGGCATTGTCGAGGGAAAATCGACAGCGTGGGGTCCGAACCTAGGCGCTCTGGTGGGCAAGAAAACTCTCTTCAGCAACTGATATCTGTACCAACTGGACTATGGCGCAAGACCAGCGTTAGTACGGGAATGGATCGTGTACTTGCCGCTGACGACAAACATGATATGGGACATGCTCTCAAATAAAAACCCCGTCCCCCACCAAACACACTATGTCTAAACATCTAAAGCAGATATGAAAAAACCAGGAACGGCGCACTACACAACAAAGTGAAGAATGGTATTTAGTTAATTGCCAAAACATGGTAATGAGCAGCTTGTCAGTTAGCGTCTACTGACCTTGTTAACGCAAAATGGTTAGTTATTCCTAGCTTTGAAAGCACAGCTGAAATGCGCTCTAGAGCGGATGTGATTGCCCGGCCCGAGACTGACAGCAGACAAGGCCCATCCCTCCGTCCCCAATCGCTAGCCAATGAACCTTCAGAGCCAGTGGTGGGAGAGCAGTCACCGCCAAGACAAACACTGCCTCCCTCCCACCGGGGCCCTTGAACGAAAATGTTGGGGGGGGGGGGGGGTCAACGATGCGCCAAGTGGACAACGTCATGTATGCAACTTTGGGACCGGGCAGAAAGGCCGCCGCAGGGTATATGGGCTTTTAGCTTGTACCTGTGCTGCTAATATGGTATCCTCTTGCCATCGAATATACTACTAGCTGCCTGTCAGCAGTTGTAGTAGGTGTGCTAACTCAGGAACTGTCAACCGAAATGCGGAAATTCGTTTTCGTTCCGAAAAGATTACTTCTACTCGTTCGGTAGAAAATTACACCCTCTTTCAATTTTAAACACAAAAGGAGGGTATTATTCCATTTTTAAAATTTTTTTCAATTCGCGAATAATTCTGAACCCGACCTACCGTTACACTTGAATTCAGGGTTTTACAACTGCAAGCCGTATATGTTCCGCGTAGGGAAAACCATAAGTTCCTCTACGACATTAAGAGGAGACCATATAGGGTTCATAAGATTGAAAGATGGATTTAAGCCATATTATAAACTTTACAAGCCACATTAGTAAATACAGAGACAAGATCTTTTATGAGCGGGCATTTCATGACATTGAAAAATCACATAATTTGAAACTTTTTAAAAACTGAATTATACCGTTTCTTCGAGTATAAAATTGAAAGAAGACGTAATTTTCTACCGAATGAGCATAATAATGAATATTCTTATTCATGATTTCCATGAAATCTGGTCGAACTTTTAAGGGCATAGAAAATTAATGAGAAAAATGCATGCTACATAAGTAGTCACTTTTCACAGAGTGTGGTTTTTGCATGCAGCCGGACAGAAGTTCGTTCGAAAGCCGGCATACTGTGGTAACTGAATTACTATAGAATTATGATGCATGACGATTAATTTGACAACCCTCCTTAAGTAATCTTTTCGAAACCAAAGCGCATTTCAGGATTTCGGTTAACATTTCATGAGTTAGCATACCTACCGAAATGAATATTGCGAGGTTACCCGCTGTGGCTGATAGACTTCGCCCAGATATTCATGCATCAAATTTCGGTCTGCGCTTATAGACCGTAGTATATACTGATCTACTCCACATTTGCAATTAATTTTTGAGGAAATTAAAAAGCAACTTTTTACACCTTCAAAACTTCGGCTCATGGAAGGTTCAGGTTTGAACTTTCTCACAGACCCGACTGGATAGTTTTAACAGGAATATAATCGTTTTACGCGTACCTCCCCGCATAACTATCCATTGTTCATTTCCATTCTGAATCCACAGGTTAGCGAGTTTGCTGTGTGGCTATGTGTGATATGTGTTGCTGTGTGCTTAAATTATGCAAGTGCCGGATAGATGTGGGTGTTATGGCCTGCAGATTGTCGTTTTCGCAGCGAAGATGAGGCCATTTCCCCAGGCAGTAAAAAGTATGAATATGTCAGTACGACAGATCATGCAGCGTATGCATACTACTAGCTACCTGCTAGCGGTTTATGAAAGTTACGCGATTATCTCTGCTGAAGTTGACGGATTTCCGCCCAAGTATTCACATCAACTTTTGGACTGAGCTTATAAAGCCTAGTGTGGAATGATTAACTCCAAGCTAACGCATTAGCTTCCGAGATTAAAAATTTGCGGCTTTGAAATGGGAGAATCCGCCAGAAAGCACATGGGGAACGATTGGACCGCACCGATGAGCCGAACCCCTCACAGCGGTGTCGTGCGGCGGCGGAATATCGGCAAATTACGTGACTGGGCTTTTAGTTTATTACCGTTTTACCGTCATTTTCGAAAATTTCGCCGTTAGCCGCACAGCAGGGAGGGAGCAGGGACGGTGACTTGCGCGTGAATTCGATTACAGTGATAGAGCTATTTGATAATTTTCATTAATTAAGAGAATTAAAGCGGTTTATCAGGTAAATCAAGATTTTAGGTCCGGGCTAGCGGCACATAAGTAAGTTTACGATTCTCGCGAAGGTAATAATACTTATTTTTGAGAACTGGCAGCCTTGGTTTATTTGTAAAACACACATGCGCCACGAAAAACCACGGATATGGGTTAGGATATGAAGATCATTTCGAATTTTCAGACGACGGAGACCGAATCAACATGTACACGATGGGGATAAAAAAAAAATTGCCAAGGTATCTGCCGCTTGGGACGTTTTGGGGGTAAAGTCCAAAAAATTAGGGGTCACTGTAAACCAAGAGGATGACCATTGGCGCCCAGCCCAACCCCACTAGTCAGCAGCCCAAGTGGACGAGAAGGGCATAATCTGGCTGGCTGTCCTATTGGACGTCACTATTTGAACCAATAGGCTATCGGAACAGTTAGCCAATGGTGACCTCGGCTTTCAGACTAGTGCGAGCTTCCCCAGTCTCTGAGTCATGTTCATGCGCGCTAACGGGCAGTCTTCGATTTCGCGCGACGGACAAGTGACGAGCTTATCGCCTCCTCTGCCATCAGACTTTAATTTTCGATCCTACTTTTTGTTTTGCCACAACCTCAGCCTCCTTTGGAAGAAATGACCCGTCAACGTAAGCGACCACAATTTCATTGTCCAGACAGTGAAAATGTTTCTTTTGATGCAGCTACATTTTTTGCAATTTGAACTCCTATGCAATCTAAATTTCGTTAGGTCAGAAAGTGAGCCTTTCTATTACTTCATCGTTCGCACATTTCGCCACTTAAAGGTTCATAACCCTTGATGATGAATGCTCTCGACCTTTTATTGGTAAGTGCGCATGGAACTGGGACATTGAGGATAGCGCACATCTGGGGACGGTGTTTTGTAGGGCGCGTAGTGGTCCAACTTTTTGGTCAGTTCAGTTCAGTTCAGTTCAGTTTATTGAGGGAAATAGGCGTAAGCCTTTGAGTACCCTATTTGCAACGTAAAAAAATTTGTGGTGTACAGATAGATGTTCTGGGCTGAAATAGTTCGAACACGCCCATAATGGTGGGACAAAATGAGAAGGAGTTACAGGGGGTGAGCTCGACTTCTCATCGCTCTTGGTCATTTCGGAACATAAATATGTCCAGATTCTTCTTAAAACTTTGTATAGATGGTGACATCACAACATCTGCGGGAAGCTCATTCCATGGTTTGACCACCCGAACCGAGAAGGAGAACTTCCGCACATCCAGCCGTGCCTGCTGAGTGCGCAGTTTTAACGGGTGACCTCGGAGGTTGGTCGTGGTAGCAAATTCAAAAAAGTCCTCGAAGGCCAGACTGCAATCCAACCCCTTTACAATGCGGAAGGCTTGCAAGAGATCTCCGCGAAGTTGCCTGTAACTCAAAGGAAAGAGGTTCAGATTTACTAGGCGGGTCGCATAGGGAAAGGAGCTTTGACCCCTAACCATCTTCGTGGCTCTCCTCTGGACTCTTTCGAGGCAGTTTTGATCCACAACAGCCCACGGCCTCCAAGCTTGTATGCCGTACTCTAAATGCGGCCGGACGAATGTTCCGAATGTCTTAGAGAAAGCTTCTTCGTCAAAGTCCATCAACGCACGCTTGATGGCGTACAGTACGGACATTGCGGTTTTTGCCACCCTCGAACAGTGGGCGGATGGTTTTAGGGAACTCGTCGTAAGCACACCGAGGTCCTTTTGGGCTTCGATCTCTTGTAGGGCTGCACCGCCCAGAAAGTAGCCTCTTGTGCTGGCGGATCTGGCTGTGTTGCCTAGGCGAAGTATGCTACATTTGGCAACGTTGAACCGCAGGAGCCAACGGTTTGACCACTCCTCCAACCGATTCAGGTTCATCTGCAGTCTGTCTTCATCGGCAGGACCCCGAATTACAATCCATATCTTCATGTCATCCACAAACATTGCTACTTCACAGTCTAAATCTCTTGCGGCATCGTCCACGTAGATAAGGAACAAAATGGGTCCCAGTACTGAGCCCTGGGGGACACCACTATCGACCATAGCCGGATCTGATTTTCCCCGACCGACGCACACAACCTGTCATCAACAAGTTGGTGTTCCGCCATACAGCAATGGCTGCAGCCTTTGCTTTTATAACCACTTGCGTCCCCGTTCAAATAATGGGTTCCGCCGAGAAGGGAGTTTGAACATGATGACGATAAGTAGGCTAGAAATGGTCATTCTAGCTCACGTCATCTTCGTCGGTAAAATCTCCCAAATTCTTGTTTGTCAACGTTGCCTTCCCTCTGACGGCAGCCTGGTACCCTCTTTTTTATGTCTACCTTGGTCATCAGAAAAAAAAAACTGGATCACCGAGACCGATGGTTTTTGCCAAAACAATACACTTCGGATGCGGGTATACCGTTAAGCTGTCTCAGCAGATCGAGACTTTGTAAGCCTGCACCGAAGCCAACTGCGCATAAGTTGACCCGCCATTGAATGGCGGGGAACTGAACCCCTCGCAGTGGCATCGTGCAGCAGAAAAAGCGTCTTCAAGGCACGTGCCGGATCTTTAAACAAGCATCCGCGGTGGACGTATGATGGCCACTTATACGTTCAGTGGTTCAAAAGGTCTCTCCTGGCTTAAAAAAGGACAGTCGATCAGAGGATCCGGACACGACAACTTCTGTCCTGTGTAGTAATTCTGAGGTGAAATCGAGCCGTCATGTTTACCAAGATTTACTTCAAGTGTACCTGGAGCTACCCCTGTGGGCAAAATTTCGTAGCTATGCTTGGTCTTCGCCAACAGCCATTTTATAGATAGCCATCTGGACAGAGATACTCTTGATAAAAAGCTGTTTTGAATACGCAACCACAGCACTATGTACCGCCTTTGCTCGTTTTCACAGGGTATTTTACATCAATCTCTAATTATGATTTCCTCTTCGACCTGCCTGTAAGCAGTGTACAACCACTCGGTGGACGCCTTTCTATCCGCACACCCAACTTTACTGGTCACCTAGTTTGATGAGAAATAAAAGTAGTGAGAAAATCCCATTCCTGTCCTGACGTTAACTCGACGGTTCGACCGTCGTTGCCGACGATTTCCGCCACGTTTTCTACAGCGAGTTAAGAACAGGTACGGTGACTTGCATAGCATCAACCGCACCTTCTTGTTTCCCCCCACCTGGTCCTGCTGTCAAGTCATTGTCAAAAAGATCGGGGGCGGGAGAGGGCGCAGGTGGCTGCGACGGCTGGGCCCGCACCTAGGCGCACCACCACACCCCCTGGTCCACAACAAACACCTGACCAGGATTTTGACCAACAACAAAGCAAGCGGGTAAGAATATATGGGAAGATGTATGGGAGACACCCATAGAAATCCGTCGGCAGGAGTTTGACAGGACAAGCAATGAAAGAGCTCAGGTCTGTGAATAATGGATAAACGCAAAGGCAGATGGGTGTAGGCATGCATACGGGATGCAGTGAAGTACGAAAGACGAAATTGCCATTGTTGAGGGAAGTGGTGGGCGTCACCGGCCTTTTTTGTCGGGATTATTATGACGGCTTCGGCCAATAAAGGTTCCTTATGAGTTCGGAAGCCTAGACTGATAGACTCATAGAAGCCTAGACTGACTGATAGACTGTCATTTACCGGATGTCAGTGCGATACCGGTGTCCCTATTGGTTGGTTAAGATGCCAGGGTTATTTCTTTCGGCCCCACTTTCTTCCTGTAATCTTCGAAATTTCGCAGGCTTCTGGTCCAGACTTGACTGTACCGATGTAAGCTGCGGAGTGCGCCTTAAGGAAGTTAACTTCAGTGAAATGTTCTGTTATGATTGTGGGCATTAGTCACGCATATCTTTTTGCTGACATTTCGCCCTTGGAGTGGGCTTATTTGTCCACAAAATGCTTGTCTGGGTAGCGCTTGTATTTATGACCTTAAGTAAAAGAATCCGCTCACCGAGTACGACGAGGTGCGGTATTTTCGGGAAGGAGGCGATGACAGTTTGGTCGTCTGCTACAAGCAGCTGTCACTTTGACCGACATTAAATGACACACTGCGCACCGTGTAAGCTTTGTCAGTAACCTAGTCGGCATACTTCCACGAATTCCTGTCTTAGGCTCGCCCCTGCAAGGGAGCACCTGCGACCTTGACTTGAAAAAACACTGAATTCACCCCCGACGAACTACACCTTCCACTTAGTAGCGCAGTCTTGTTTGAGTGCACTATGTGTATGTTGATGGGTTCTTGTTCGAAAAAAACATCGCCCGTACTTTGTACCTTTGTTCACGCTTTACGCAGGGCTTTAACCGCAGTAAACTACGCTCATCTGTGGACAGAGCCGTTCAAATGTCTCCCCAGCCTTAAGCGTGTCGTAATGACCTTCGTGTTTCGTTCTCGACACTTTTGCTACTGCCAAATTAGAGCTGGCTCCAGAAGCTTCCATTGTTTTCATTACTGAGGGTCGGAGAGATCCAGGGTAAGAGTTCAGGGTAGAGAATGAGACTCGACGATGACCGCGTGCCTAGGGGGGTGGGCGCAGCCCCGGCGACTCGCGGGTGAATCAGTGGGGCATACTTGCGCAGCATCAGTCGTACCCTCCCCTTCCCTATCCACTTTGCTCCGATGGCGAGACAATGTCAAGATGACCGGAGGTAGGCGTGGGGAACAGTGGCTGACAAAACCAAACAGCCCGACTACGCGTGCCACGCGTGACCCGGTATTCATCATCA